ATGCTTGAAATGGCGAAAGTCGAATTTTTAGGGTGTTTGACCGGAAGTGTACTTTTTGATATCAGGGTCGGATTCTGATTCCGAAAATTGGAGTAGTTCCGTAATGTTGAATGTGACTTGTGTTCAAAATTTGAGGCCAATCAGACGTGGTTTGATAGGTTTCGGCATACGTTGTAGAAGTTTGAAGTTTCAAAGTTTATTGAGTTTGGATTGGAGGGTGATTTGTATTTTGTTGTTGTTTGATGTGTTTTGAATGCTCGATTAAGTACGTATGGTGTTTTATGACTGGTAGGTATGTTTGGTTGAGGTCCCGGAGGCCTCGGGTTGATTTTGGGTGGTTAACAGATCATTTTGGACTCAGGAAAGATTGTAGATTTTCCAGTGTTCTCCAGTTATGGTTTCCTTCTTCGCGTTCGCGAGGGGAGTCCCACGTTCACGAAGAGGAATGGAGGAAGGTGAGATTTTGTGCTTCGCGTTCGTTATGGGGGTCCCGCATTCGCGAAGTGCTGAGGTAGTTGGTCTACGTGTTTGTGATAGAAGTCCCGCGTTCGCGCAGAGGAATTGGCCAACTGGGTCCCCGGTCCCTTTTGCCTACGCGTTCACGATGTTTGTCCCGTGTTCGCGTAGAGTCGAGTTGAGTGACCTTCACATTCGTAAAGGAGGAATGCCTGGGCTGTATTAAACATTTCAAAATGAGGGTTTGGCTATTTTTATCAAAACTTGAGATAGAGAGCTCGAATTTGGATGGGATTTTGAGTGATTTTCAGAAATATCGATTGGGTAATGATTCTACAATTTTTTTTGGTTATATCCCACTAATCTATCATTAATTCCATCCTTTAATTTCGGATTTGGGTTAAAAAATTTGAAAAAATGGGAGAAGTTCTTCAACTAAGTTTTTTAGTTTTGATTGGGATTTTGACATCGAATTTGGATAGTTTTGGTACGAGTGAATTCGTGAGTGAATGGATGTTTATATTTTATGACTTTTACCAGATTCTGAGACGTGAGCCCAGGTCGACTTTTTGGGGATGTTTTCAAATTTCTTTCTTAAGCTTTGATTTCATTAATTAGATTATATTTTTATAGTAATATTTATGGTATGTAATTCCTTTTGGCTAGATTTGGGCCATTCGGAGTCGGATAATCGTGAAAAGTAATGTTACCGATTGATTGAGCTATGTTCGAGGTAAGTATCTTGCCTAACCTTGTGTGGGGGAACTCCCCTTAGGATTTGGTACTCTTGTGATATGTGAGCATCGTGTACGTGAGGTGACGAGTGTGTACATGGGCTATTTGTTGTAAAATCTGATTTTTACTGAGTAATAAACTATTTCTTCTTAATTGAGTTATACCAGCATGTGTAGTTATCCTGTTTAGCCTAGAATATTATATCTACATGCCTTAAATGCTTATTTGAACTCTGTACATCATGCTTACACTACAAAAAAATAGTGTTTAGTGACGGAATTTAGCGACAAGAGATATTCCGTAGCTACATAATGACGGATTAACGACAAATTTTGTAACTTGTCTCCAAATAAGCTACAAAAAGAATTGTATTAAAAATAGCGACGGAATAGAGACAAAAACCAATATTCGTTGCTAAAATTGGCGCTAAATATGAGCGCCTTTATTTTACCTATAAAATTAGCGATGAAAGTGCAGCGACAAAAAGTATTAAAATCTAGCAACGAATTTAACGTCAAAAAATGAGTCACTGCATTCATTTTAGTTATCAAGACATTCCAAAGTTGATTGCGATAAAAATTTTCGTCGCTAGTTTCCTTAAAATAAAGCTTCATTAGATGATAGTAGCAACAGAAATTTGGTCCGTCGCTATTTCCGTTGCTAATATCTAGTTCCATTAAAGTAAATTTTCATTAGTTATTATTAGCGACAAAATTTGATCCATCGCTATTGTCGTCACAAAAATTCCGTCTAAAAAATAAAAATAACTTGGTCAAAAGACGGATTATTCGAACGATTAGGGCAACAACTCACTTTCTCTCCTCTCTATCAGACTCCTTCACTCCTTCAACAATGTGATTTTTTTTTCTTTAAATACAAAAATCGGGCGTGAATCTAGGATTATTGTATGAAAATTAGATCAAAATTGCAAGATTTTTGCTGCATAACTCTGAAATTCGAAGTCGTATGTTGCTGCTCCATAAGATTCTCAGGCGAAAGGGTAAGCTTCTTTGTGATTTCTCTTCCTTCTCATTCTACAGAAAGACATACAAAATCTGTTGGGTTCTTCTTGAGCATCCAGGTCTGCATCCGCTTTCCCCTTTTTATTTCTTCCTAATTTAAAAAAAAAATGGTAAGTTTATACCCTTATTTTCCATTGATAGATACAATGTGAATAGGCCTCATACTTGTTGAATTAGATATGAGTACATGCAGCGATGGAAGTAAATCCAATGTACTATTCTCATCATTATTCGACCGAATTTTTACAACTTTATTAGAAGAAAATGATTCCAATGATTTTTCATTTTTTAGTTTGGCATTTAATAGTTGCTTTGAAATGTCCCTGGACTTCCCTGGTCCCTCTTAGAAATTTCCTTGTAAACTACTTGCGTATGAACCAATTTTCCTGCTCCACCTATTTTTATTACACATTGGATTATCAAAAATTGGATTCCTCGTGTTTAATATTTCAACTAAACTAGATATGCATCTGAAAAAGACTTGAAGTTTGAGAGAAGGTTGTATACTATTAAACCTGTGCCGGCAGAGAAATTAGACTCTTAGATTTTACTTATTGTGTCAAAATATAGTCTTATACATTATTATCTGACCAGAAAACATGATTTTTTGTAGTGCTGATCTTCATTTGCATAAAAGGATTTTACTTAGGCTAACAGTTATATTCTGTTTTTATCTTTGATAACATGCTTTGTCTGCTTTCGCATGTTTTACTGGCTTCTACTTGTTTTGTCCTTCATATTTTCTGCCATCTAGTGCTTATAAGGAATCCTTCCATGCCTTTGATTTGCTTCCTTACTCCAATTATCAATCAATCCAATATGTTAATGCATTGTTCCACAAATTCCTCTTCACTGCTCGGCCCACACTGACTGTAGTGGTAGAGTTGCAAAATTAAAGGAAAAGTCCATCATGTAAAAAAATGAAGAGTTTAAAATTAAAAATTAGTGTTTTTCTGATTGTAATTTTTCTTACTAAATGTGAATGGAGAATATATATTCAGTACCAGGTAAGTAGAGAAGAGGGCTTTTTCTGACCCAAGAGTAAAACAGAAACCTCCAGCTTCTTCACTTGGCTCATTACAGTTGTCATCTTTGGTCCTTGTATTACTAGTGCTTCCACTTCAACCTTTTATTTTTTTAATATAGGGGCTAGAAGGCAGATTACTCTCACAAGAATATAGAAAGTCAACCCCCTTTATAGTAACTCTAGCATGAAGCCCACCTATAAGAAAATGAACTAAAAAGATTAGTTGAATCTGGAAATTTAAAGGGAATGAAAATCAGATAAATTTTGGATTGTGGAAACAAATACTGTCCTTTTAGTTTTGAATTGTGAAGATTTTTGTCCTACTTTTGCATTTGCTATACACTAATTTATTTTCCCTTTGTTTGAAAATTTTCTTTGCAGGTCGACAAGAATTTATGTGGTAAAAGTTCTCATAAAGATTCAGTTTTTATTAGTCTTCGTGCTTGATCCAAAAGGCATTTCAAGGTCTGGTGAGTTCTCATGTCCTTGTTCTGTTGATTGTGCTTTTTCTATTGCATTGGTTTAATTTAATAATTATAAATTACATTTTGGGGCATTGTAATTAGTATCATTTTTGACTTATATAATCCTCAATATATATCATTTCATTTGTGTATTTGAGGTTCTTATTTTGGTCAAAGAAAGGAACTGAGCATTCCAAGATTTGTTTTCATTCCAAGATTGTGGTATTAGTATTCTCATCTTATTCTAATGTCAACTTGTTATTCTTTTTAGAAAGCATTCTGATGTCTTATTAAATAAAGAACTCTAAGATCTTGTTTATTTTAATATTAAATAGGAACATGGACAATCTAAAACGTGATTGGATGTACAAAAGGTTGGATGGCCGAGGGGTTATTAATTCAAGTTTCATAACTGGTGTGAACAAATTTCTCCAGTTTGCTTGTTCTCAGCGCAATCGCATGAGTGATGACAATGTTAGATGTCCATGTAAAAAATGTCACAACATTAAATACTTGGATGCTGAACTGTTAAATTACACATTTATCAATATGAATTTGTTGAGAACTATTTTCTTTGGAAGTATCAAGGAGAAAAAAATGTGATCGGTGAGATGTCTTCTAGTGGTGATTTGCATGGTGGCGCTCAACCTGAATCTGGATATGAGAATCCATATCGACAAATGGTCTTGGATGCAGCTGGACCTAATTTTGGCCATGGTTTGAGCTAGCAGTCGTATAATAATACTGAACCTGAGTTGTCTCATTCTTATGAACTTCAATGCCGGCAGAGCCTAATCCTTCAATGGAGGAGGAGCCAAATCTTGAGTGCCAAAGGTTTTATGATTTGTTACAGGCCGCTGATGCAAAATAATACCCTGGTTCTTCCCTCTCTCAACTCACAGTGATTTCTAGGATGCTAAATAGATACTTTATCACAAAGAGGTTATAACCAAATGATGCAATTGATGAAAGAGGCTTTACCAGAAGATAACACAATGCTTGATAACTATTACGAGACCAAGAAGCTAGTGCGTAGCTTGGGTTTGCTAATTGAAAAGATTGATTGTTGTAATTTTGGATGTATGTTGTATTGGGGTGAAGATGAGGACCTCACATCTTGCATGTTTTGTGGCCACCAGAGGTACAAACGTTGTGTCGGTTCTCGTAAGAGGAAATTAATCCCTTACAAAAAAATGTATTATTTTCCTTTGATTCCTAGATTGCGGAGATTATATGCATGTCATGCTACAACCGCTGATATGAAATGACATCATGAGCACATACAAGAGGAGGGCGTAATGCGTCATCCATCAGACTCTAAGGCTTGGAAGCATTTCAATAAAACTCATCCCTTTTTTGCTGCTGAACCAAGAAATGTGAGGTTTGGATTATGTACTGATGGTTTTCAACCCTTTGGTCATTCAGGGAGGAAATACTCATCATGGCCAGTGATTGTCACTCCATACAATTTGCCTCCAGGGATGTGTATGAAAGAGGTGTACATGTTCTTAACTGTCATTGTTCCAGGGCCAAACAACCGTAAACAAAAAATTGATGTTTATCTACAACCTTTAATAAAGGAATTAACCTTGTTGTGGGAGACGGGTGTAGAAGCATTTGACATCTCAAAAAAACAAAATTTTCAATTAAGGGCCGCTTTGATGTGGACAATCAATGACTTTCCAGCATATTCTATGTTATCTGGATGGAGTACTGCCGGTAACTTAGCATGTCCTTATTGTATGGAGGAAGCACAATCCTTCAGATTACGTCATGGTGGGAAAACAACTTAGTTTGACAGTCATAGAATGTTTCCTGACCAAAATCATCCATTTAGGAGAGATCGTAAAAACTTTCATAAAGGCCAGTCTGTCAGAAGGCTACCACCACCCCTTAGAACAGGAGAAGAAATCTTGAAGCAAATTTGTGAGTTGG